AACGTGAACAACCAAACAATGGAACAACTGGTCGCTATGACATGTGCTGACCACAGGGGGTGTGTACAGAACATGGCGGGAGTTGACTGCAGTGGGATGGTGGAGCAGGAGAGCAGGGGTGCCAAACCAAGGCAGGGTGCCAGTCACTGTCATCGGGGTGAGCCTCTGGTGGTTACTGAAAATTCTTTGCTCCCATGTGCCATGGTCCTGCCTGGCGCACGCACCTGCTGCCAGCGCCAGCCCACTTGCACTCACTGCTGGTGCCTGGCGCCGGCCCTGATCGCTTGGAGCCATTAGCTGGTTTGAGCGCCCCGATTGCCCCTCAGGGCTTCTCCACCTCCCCCTGCTCCTGAGGGGCAATCAAGGCCGGCAGCTGCCTCTTGTACCTGCTGCTGGCAACAGCCCTGCTCGCACCCGCTGCCGGCACCTGGCGCCAGTCCCAATTGCTCAGCGCCATCAGTGGGTGCAAGCAGCGGCTGCCGGCCACGGTTGCCCCTGAGGGCTTCTCCACCTCCCCCAGCTCCTGAGGGGCAATCAGGGCAGCAGCTGCTGCTCGCACCTGCTGACGGCACTGGACCCGCTTGCACCTGCTGCTGGTGCCGGCCCCACTCATATTCACTGCTGGTGGTGTCAGCACATGGGAGTAGTGGCAGTGAGAACGGGGCTGCTGGCAGATAGGGAACTGGGGGCTGTGGCGGGAGGGGCTGGGCGGGGACATAGAGGATGGGCCAAGACCTGCCCCTGTGCCCATCGCAGCCTCAAGGCCCACAGTTCCTTTCAAGGTGCACAAATTTGTGCACTGGACTCCTAATAACATAATAAAACAACAGATGTGAGAACCCCAAATGGGTCCGTCTGTTTTTTCAATCTGAACACCTCTCACTAAGTAACTTTCACAATGGTTTCCAGCTGTGGCAAGGGCTCTGGTGGCATAGATGACGAGGACAGTCCCACAAGTGCAGCTGTTCCTAGGGACAGGTGTCCCTGAAGGACTGAGCCTACAGAAGCCTCTCCCGGTATGATTAAAAATGCACCAGGACGTATATTGTATATGATCCTAGCTTTTGATTTCCACTTCCAGTCAAAATAGAGTAACAGTTAACAGTTACCTCCAACATGAAACAACTAACACACCATGCAGACAATGAATGAAACAATATTCCTCATGATAAAGGAACAAAGGATAGTGACTCCTAAGATTCAGAAAACAAATGAGATGAAACCTAAAACCATCCCCGCTTAATGCCTTGAAAAAATGTCCAGGCTGCAACAAAGGGAGGGGAATCAGGCAGATCTTGGTTGTTTCCATAAGCAGAAAAGATGCAGCTCAGAATCCAGGGATGCCATGGGGGCTCCAGTTCACAGGGCAGAGTGCCAAAGAGAGAGCCATGGGAGAGGACCATGGCGATCTACAGCCCCTCCCCCCCCAAATATGCAGTTGAGTACTGAGGAGTAGATTTATGTGAGGAAACTACCAAGGCAGGAAAAGTGCCAAAGAAAAGGATTAAAGAAATCAGTCTCGGGAATTCACACAGGTCTGGGAACAGGACCTGTTCCTTCCAACCAGAGTGAAAACCTAGACCATAAGAAAGAGTATTCAAGGGGTTTTACTTCAGTAATACTATAAATTTAGTCTTAAACACAGTGTGAATACCATCTAAAACAGCTTAAAAGCAAGACCCAACTGCTTTCAAGTTACATAGAGTAGTGTCCCAGAACAAAGTTCAATACTAAGATAAAAATTTACAGTATCTGGAATACAATAAAAAATCACCAGGCATCCCAAAAGACAGAAAAGTATAATCTGTAACAAGGGGATTAATTCATCATGAGGACATAGCAATCCTAAGCGTCTATACACGTAATCAGAACTTCAAAATATATGAAACAAACTGTATGACGCAACTGCAAGAGTAAATATAAACACCCACAATTATACTCAGATATCCCATCATCCCTTTTGCAATAACTGAGGGAAAAAGTGGGCTGAAAATCAGCAAAGATACAGAAGACCTTAACAACACTCTCAACAAACTTGACCTAACTGATAAACAACATTCTACTGACCAAGAACGGAATACACATTCTTTCCAAGAGTAAATGGATGGTGAATCTCTTGAAACATTTACCAAGACAGATTATATTTTGAGGTCTAAAACCAGTCTCAATTAATTTAAAAGGGTTCAGGTCGCCATAACCAGTTTGGCTCAGTGGACAAACCATCAGCCTGCAGACTGGAGGGTCCCAGGTTAGATTCAGGTCCAGAGCAGATGCCTGGCTTGTGGGCTGTATTTCCAGTGGGGGGCCTTCAGGGGGCAACTGATCAATGATTCTCTCACATCAATGTTTCCACCTCTCTCTCCTTCTCCCTTCCTCTCTGAAATCAATACAAATATTTTTTTTTTAAAAAGTATTCAAGTCATATAAAAGAATGTTCTCTGACCATACTAAAATTAAT